GCTTTTTTCAGTCCTTCAGACTTTAGAAGCTCCATTAAAGCTCAGTTTGTTGGAGAAGGTCCTTAAAGGGCCTGTGACATGCATATACTTCAAATATAAAAAGTCAAGGAAAACAACTTTATGTTCAACAAACTTGGATTTTACTCATTTTGTCACATTTCCTTCTGAACTTGGCTCAAACATTGTGAAACAGGAAGTGACATCAAAGGTGGACTCTTGAAAAAAAGGGTCTTTGTTTATTGAAATAATATTATTTGAGTTCTGACTCTTCATCTCTGATTGTGACTCAAAATAATCTAAAGACACATCAGATTCTTCTCTACAGTCTGTGTTGTTGGTCATTATAGCAACACTGTTTACATTGTCATTCCTGTTTGACATCACTTCCTGTTACAACTCATGCATATTTCTCAACAACTCTTCATTTCAGCAGCACAGATTTTTAAAAATATGCTATAAATGTTATTTTTCCAAAAATGCATTCATGTTTATTACAAAAAATGGACGTCACTGGCTGTTTAAGGGTGATGTCCACACTGTCCTACACCTGTCTGTGTGTCCCCCTGCAGGAGGACAGTCCTCAGCTCCACCACCAGCACACCTCTCCTCGGGAACGACGCGCCATCTGCAACAACATCTACAAGAACAAACGGTGCCGCATGGAAACCTGCTTCGACTTTGCTCGCTGCCAGTCGGGCTTCAGGGTTTACATCTACCCCCCACAGAGAGGGGACAGCATCTCTGAGACCTACCAGAAGATCCTGACCTCCATAGAGGAGTCTCGCTTCCACACCACAGACCCTTCGCGGGCCTGCCTGTTCATTCTGGCCGTGGACACGTTGGACAGGGACCAGCTCTCGGTTCAGTACATCCAGAACGTCCGAACCCGCATCCACAACCTGCCCACGTGGAACGATGGCAGGAACCATCTCATATTCAACCTGTACTCTGGAACCTGGCCTGACTACACGGAGGACCTGGGCTTCGAGGTGGGTCAGGCCATGCTAGCCAAGGCCAGCGCAGACGTGGCCAACTTTCGACCCAACTTTGACATTTCTATCCCCCTGTTCTCCAAAGACCACCTGCTGAAACGAGGGGCGACGGGTTACCCGACGCTGAACGATGCCCCGCCTTTCAGGAAGTACCAGCTGGTTTTTAAAGGGAAGCGCTACCTGACCGGGATCGGCTCAGAGACCAGGAACGCTCTCTATCACGTCCACAATGGGGATGATGTCATTCTGCTGACCACCTGCAAACACGGCAAAGACTGGGAGAAACACAAAGACTCACGCTGTGACCGAGACAACAGAGACTACTCACAGTAAGATCAACCTTTTTATCTCTTTTTCCCATGGTCCGTAACAAATAACTGGTCTCTTTAATCTGTGAATGAAGCTGATGGGTTTTAATCTGTGAATGACGCTGATGGGTTTTAATCTGTGAATGAAGCTGATGGGTTTTAATCTGTGAATGACGCTGATGGGTTTTAATCTGTGAATGAAGCTGATGGGTTTTAATCTGTGAATGACGCTGATGGGTTTTAATCTGTGAATGAAGCTGATGGGTTTTAATCTGTGAATGACGCTGATGGGTTTTAATCTGTGAATGAAGCTGATGGGTTTTAATCTGTGAATGACGCTGATGGGTTTTAATCTGTGAATGAAGCTGATGGGTTTT